GCTCCTTCAATTCAACTGTAACGGGCTACAGAGCAAGATTGAGGAGATAACCGTCTTCATGTGTCGGCATGGTATATTAATAGCTGCGGTCCAAGAGACGAAGTTGCACAGCAATTCAACTTTGTTGAATTGCGCCGGGTACAACGTGCACCGTCGAGATCGCGAGCGAGATAATGGTGGTGGCTTAGCGTTCATCACGCACCACACCGTGCAGTATCGTCTTATCGAAGCAGACATCGACCGCAGGGATACCACCCTAGAATGTCAGGGCATTGCTATCCGGTCAGGCGATGTCGAGCTCGAAATATTTAACATATACATACCCCCTGTCACCTGCTGCCCGGCAGGATATCACCCTGATATAGGTGCGCTCCTCAGAGGTGAAAACCGTATGGTAGTAGGTGACTTTAATGCGCACCACGATCTTTGGCACTCAAGCCTGTCAAACGATCGTAGGGGAACAGACTTGGCTGAGCAGATAGACGATTCGACATTCTGCACAATGAACGACGACGCACCCACCAGGATTATGGGTAACTGCAGTAGCTCGCCAGACATCACAATAGTCAGCGCTGGTCTGATAAACAGCATAACGTGGCGACCTATGCTGACTCTAGCATCAGACCATCTACCCATAGTCATCTCGATTGATAAACCAACCGACTTTGCCTCCGCCAAACACCGGACCTATATCAACTTTTCTAAAGCTGATTGGAAAGGTTACGCGGAGTTTACCGAAAACACCTTCGCAGCGCTCCCCACACCAACCGACGTCCATCTCGGTGAACGTAAGTTCCGCAGGGCTATCACTGCTGCTGCAGCTCGCTTCATACCGGCAGGATGTATATCGGACCCACGTCCAAACTTCCCTGCCGAAGCGGCTGTTCTAGCCGATGAGCGTGATAGCCTTCGTCAGGCCGATCCCGGAGATCCCCGTATCAGGGATCTCAACGCGGAGATTCGGCAACTTGTAAACGTACATAAGCGGAAGAAGTGGGAGGAGCATCTGAAGACTTGTAACTTCACCTCTGGTGTGAGCAAGCTTTGGTCAACCGTGAGGTCATTGTCTAATCCGACGAAGCACGACGACAGAGTCGAAATTTCCTTCGGCGACCATGCTTCGTCGGACCCGGAGCGATGCGCGAGCTATTTTAGCCGGCAGTTCATACTGCATCCTCCGGTGGACAAAGCCAAGCGTCGAGTGACCAGAAGGCTGCACAAACTGCCAACAACTTGTGCCCCCCTTGCTTTCACTTGCGGTGAAGTTCAGGTGGCCATCGGGAAGGCGAAAGCCTCCAAAGCCATGGGTCCCGACGGAATATGCATGCTGATGCTGAAAAATTTGGGTCCTGCGGGGGTAGCGTACCTAACGGAGGTCCTCAATTTGTCAATGGCCACTCTCATCATCCCAGACATCTGGAAGGTGGGGAGAGTGGTCCCACTGCTCAAACCGGGGAAACCTGCCAACAAAGGAGATTCGTATCGTCCGATTACACTCCTTTCCCCGGTAGCGAAGACACTCGAGGCCTTGCTACTCCCGTACTTCACAAACCACCTGACCCCAGCGAAGCATCAGCATGGTTTCCGTAAAGTGCACAGTACAACAACAGCACTTAACGCCATAAACACTCAGATAACTCGTGGCCTTAACCGTAACCGTCCCTGTGAGAGAACGATTCTAGTAGCGTTGGACTTGTCAAAGGCGTTTGACACCGTCTGCCATTCCACGCTGCTAGAAGATATAGAGGCCTCCTCTCTCCCACAGAGGCTCAAACGGTGGTCGGCAAATTATCTGAGTGGTCGACATTCGTCGGTAATGTTTAGAGACAAAACGAGTAAGCAGCGAAAAATAAAACAGGGGGTTCCTCAGGGTGGTGTCCTTTCCCCGCTACTGTTTAACTTTTACATTTCAAAGCTCCCTCAACCACCAGAGGGAGTCTCGATTGTCTCTTATGCCGACGATTGCTCGATCATGGCGACTGGGAATGGAATTGATGACCTGTGTTCGAAAGTAAACGGCTATCTCTCCGAACTTTCTCGCTTCTTCACTGCAAAGTGTCTAGCCCTCTCCCCTACGAAATCCTCCGCGACCCTGTTCACAACCTGGACGAAGGAGGTCAGGCTACCGCTGGGGATTCACGTCGATGACACACCAATTCCGACGGTGAATAACCCCAAAATACTCGGAGTAACATTCGACAGCCTGCTCTCCTTCTCTGCGCACTCAACCGCTATTGTCAATAAAGTACAGAGCCGCAACAAGGTCCTCAAGTCGCTAGCCGGCAGTACTTGGGGCAAAGACAAAGAAACGTTGCTGGCAACATACAAGGCAATAGGCCGGCCGGTTTTGAACTACGCAGCGCCAGTGTGGTCGCCAGGGACTAGTAGGACGCAGTGGACGAAGCTACAGACTGTACAAAATACCGCACTCAGGACAGCGACAGGATGCCTCCTGATGTCGCCCGAACACCACCTGCACGGCGAGGCGCAAATGCTCCCTGTAAAGGAGCACAATATAATGCTCTGCAAGCAGTTCCTGATCGGGAGCCACAGAAGTGGCCACCCAAGCAGACAGCTGCTTGCAGAGGAGCCCTCGCCTAGGCACGTCAGGAGGCATCTATATGAACTGACGGACGAAGTCCAGAGGTTCATTAAGCAACCTCTGGACCCGACAGCTTACAGACAGGCCCTGAACGGCATTCACAGGGACTCAGTCTCGAGTTATGTAGACTCTAGACCTGTGAATGCCGTTCTAGGCATACCACCCCCGGACATAGACGAGACGGAGCTTCATCTGCCTCGGGAGACACGCACAACACTCGCACAACTTCGCTCCGGCTACTGCAGCAGGTTGAACTCCTACTTGAGTAGGTTGAATGAGGATGTGCCGAATGAGTGTCCGGCATGCGGAGAGACCCCACATGACTCGAAACATCTCTTCGCATGCCCGGAAAACCCGACAACCCTAACGGCCTTGTCCCTGTGGACAAACCCCACAGAAGCTGCACGCTTCCTAGGGTTGCCGTTAGTGGAACTTGACGACAACGACTGAGATACCAACCGATCTGGGCGGGGTTGTTGTAGCCGCTACAACAACAACAACAACAACAAGAACTAGAGCTGCCAAACGAATTACTAATGTTTTACGTGGAAACAGGGTATAAAGTCGCCATTGTGTCTGGTTTTACTTTTGTTGTTTTATCTTTTACAACTAAATATTTTTTCAATTTTTGCTCTTAGTTCTTTAAATTTATTGTTTAGCAATGGCAAGTCTGTGGAGTGCGCAGTCTGCTCAATATTCTTATAGCTATTGGCTATCAATTCTCGAGTTTTGTCTACATATGCTTGAGTATATTTGTGTATTTATTTAATAATTCTTCTAATACGTTAAATTCCATCTATTTCATTCTACTATATATTAAAATATATTAAGCCGCATTTACATTACGGTATGCCTGTTTTTTTAATATTTCTTATAATGTGAATTTATCTTGCATAATAATAAAATTACTAATATTACAAAATTGATGTAAACTAAATTTTTTTTATTTTCGATTGATACTGCTGCCCCTGCTGCTGCGTTGTTGTTATTGATCACCTCTTCCTTTGTTTGGGTTCCACCCATCTCGACGCAGTTGTTTCAGTTCTGCGATAAAGTCTCGCTTTTGCTGACCCTGGCTGATATTATTCTCTGCAGCTCAGAATACTTTCTCGTGGCGCTTTTTTTCTTCCGTGACGTTTTTTGGGTTTATTTTGAACCGTCTGCCTGAAGTTCTGAAGATTTTGACTATATTTTTGTTCTTTGTCGGCACTGCGCTAAAGTTATCGGTGTTGGTCCAACTGCCTTCGATTCACGTATGTAAACCGGGTGTCTCTGTGGATACTTCAGGTGTATATTCTTCCTGTTCCATTTGGATTTGTTTCTAAAGTTATTAAGACAGTTTGTGATGTGGTCCTTTATCACTATGTTCGTAAAGGAGGATCGCCATGTAATGAGTTGGTAAACTAAAAGTGTTTAAACCTGAGTTTAAGTATTTACTCAGCTCTCCAGCCGCTTGTATGCATGCATTTGTGATGACGATCTTTGAAGTAAAACTCTTGAATTGAATCTTATGACAAGAATGATTTTATTTCGGCTCAACGCCTACCTTTATATGCTTACAATATAATTTTTATTTCTATTAGTGACCAATCACTACATTGGCCACTACTTCTAACAGAAATGCTTACTCACTATTTTGCATTTATATTTTATATTTTTATTATATATTTTTTATGTACATATGGTACATGTGCGCTAACCCACATATGTATGCTTGGTAACCTGATCTTGCTCTTGCAATAGCAAGCATCAAGTGTACCTAATGCGCCGCCGTACGCTAAACGATAGTGCTAGCCGTGACGAGTGTTCCGCATGTGGAATCAAGTGCACTGGTAAGAATGCCACACAGGATGGTCACAACAAACGCGCCGACTCAGCAATATGAACCGAATGTGCTAAGTGCAGGTTGGGCACACTTCAGACATTTCTTAGAATCATACTGAGTATGCAGTTTGTTCGCGCATTTTCTTCCATACTCAGTATGTTCAACAGTTTTTTGTTAAAATGAGAAATACCTTACACAAAATGAGAATTACTTACACAATAAAAATTACCAAAAATCAACGGTAAGTCCTGGCTACTTCACTTGCACTTGATAATACTAGCATTTAATGGCCTACAAAACTGCATACTAAAAAAATTATTTAAAAGTTAAAAATTCTGATCAACATTTGTTAAAATTCGTCGAATTTTTATAAATGTTCTACAGTTTGAAATTCTGATTAACATGTTTTTTAGATAGATATATTTTAATAAAAAATAAGAAATTAAAAAAAGGAAGAGTAGCCAAAACTTGTCCCTATTTTCATTCATAAACCTTATTAATTTGGTGTAAAGTTAAGTTTTGGTTGAGTTTTAAAAAAAATAATAAAGTTTAATTATTTAATAAATTTTTAAGGATGAAGATGATTTCAACGACCCTCTGCTGGCGGATCTAGAAGTTGATGAGGAGGACGATGTCGAAGAGGAGGAATTTTACGTTGAAAGTAATATAACATACGAAAATTGCCTTCTTCAGAATGAGCCTGCAAACGAATTAGAAAAGGCTTTGGCATTGCACAGTGAAAGGAAGCCAACAAAACTGCAAATACCAGCGATTGAAAATCAGCTACCAACCACAGCAGCTGTCGCTAATGTCGACACAATTACTTCTCCTAGCAGTTCGGTTCAAATATGTGCAGATATAGTTGAATGTCCTGAACAGAAGGTATTACTCGTTTCTTCCCAGCCAACAACTGCTACTAGAAACGATAAAGCTTTGAATCAGTTACAAAACCAGCAACCACAAAAGCAAAACAGAACGACTCATAAGAATATCGCGAAAAAAAACTTGCGCTCGCATAAAGCAGAACAATCATCACGGACACTTCTGTCGCCCTTTGACTCTGTAAAAAACGGCCCTAGTGAGCAGCATATTAATTACGACACAGAACATATATACGAAACTATACCAGAAGATTCAGAATCAGAGCCATTTTATTGCTCTCCATATGAAAGTTCAACATATGTAACGGCATTCGGATCCTGTTCCTCTACCACTACCGACTCGCCGCAGCTTCAGTTGCAAAAGATGAATGTTGCGAAATGGCTAGATGTATGTGTTAACCCCACGAATATTTCACAACTGAATGCCATTTCTGCGTCGGCTCGTGGCACCAGCGCAGGTAACCGTAAGCAATTCCACAACGATACCAACGAAATGGAAATACGCAAGAAATCCAATACTGTGCGAAGCACCTTAACTACTATCACAAACGGATCAAGTAGTAGCGGTGGCAGCGGAAATAGTGGCGGAAGTAATATTGTGGACGTTTCGCAAAATGAAGAACGTGACTCCTCCAGCGCTTATAATACTGGGGGGTCAAACAATAGTACAATTCCACTAAGATCAGTACTCAACCAAAGTGGAAAATGCGACAGTATGCTTGATGACAGCAAATCACTGAAATCGCAATTGCCAAAGGATAAGACGTCCTCTATTTTATCCAAAACAGGCTGTGATGCCCTATCACAGCTTTCTCAAACTATACGAAGCAATATAGGTAAGCGTTTTGAAAGCATACGAGTTTTAGTGCCAAAACCCTTTTATATTTTAGAAAGCTCAGCAGATGTTCGGACTAATCCATCGGTGAGTTCAACTTTGGGGGACCGAAGTAAATACCCCCCAAATCAATTATATAATAATGATCCCATTCAGTGTCAGTTAGACAAAAAAGGGTTCTGCCGGGATTTTGTTTCAAAACATTTTTTACATCCATTATTAATGCAAGACAACATTTTTCACCACCAGAACTTTTGCTGTCCACAATTTGTTGCTCCGAATCTTAGCCAATATCACTTTGTCAGCAGCCAAGAGGTATTTATGTCACGACCTATAATTTTATCTATTTATTTATTATGTTTGTTGCTGTAGAATTGTAAGACAATAGTATATTGTTAATGAAATGCAGAAAACCGCTTACAGGGCCCTATTGCACCAATGACGTGTCATTATCATATTGGCAAATTATTGAAGTTGCGCAAAGCTGTGTTTCACCAACTCGATAAGTGAAGGTCGTTCAACTGAGTATTGATGAGTAAAATATCAGTCAGTCGTTAGCAAGTGTTTCGCTAAAATATGAAATGCTAAGAGGAAAAATCTTAGTGATATGTTATGCAAATTATCAAAATTTATTACCATTTTGCTGCCCTAAATATTTTTACTTATCACTTATCTTTTATTCTGCTAAATTTAGCACTGTTTTGCTAAAAATGAATAAATCAATCAGAGCTTTAACATGTAAAATGCTTCGATTTGAACTTTCAATTATTAGAGGAGGAAAATCCGCTAACAAAGCGTGTTACAAACGAACAAATCAACTACAAACAATCAATAATGGTGTAGCCAAATTAAAATAAAAATTAATTGGAGCGTACCATCAATATAACAATGAGCGTGATAATTGCTTAAGGCCCCACAATTATTAACGACTGCACTGGTTAGGTAAGGGTAGCCAACATCATGGCATGGGGTCGACAAATCCAAGTGGTGCACCGTGTGTGGAGTAATCCATCGAATGATAGATGAAACTATTCGTTGGCCGGAATTTACGCATAATATAGCCATACAATTTTTCACCTTTGGTGCATTTCCACAAGTCAAAGGGCGCATTGATGGCATAATATTAAACATAGATAAACTGAAAATGCTTATCAAAACCCACGTGGGTTTGCTAAGCCTTCGCTTTCCATTTGTCGGTCCAACGCTTATCAAATGAACAATTTGCTCGTTTCTAATTTTTTGATAAGTTGATAGATACGTACTTTACTTAAAAAAAAATACATCAAAAAATTGTATAGTGATAAGTGTTAAGTCGTTCGTGCAACAGGGTCCAGTGGTGCTCTTCTATAACGTTTCTACCGACCGCCTTTGCGACAAGTTTATTCTGTAACTATAGCTCTGTCTTGGTACTCCACTGCAACTTTGGGGTCGAGTCTAGACAGGTAGCTGTTGACACGCCTGCAATATCCAGACTGTAAATGGGCCAGACACTGTATATTGCAGACGTTTCATTGGAGATATTGGGGTCGAATCTGGATGAGTGTCCGGCATGTGGAGACGCCTCGCACGACACCAACCACTTCTTCACATGCCCGCTCAATCCCACTCAACTAACACCCCTCTCCCTTTGGTCATATTCGCTCTCATGTTTCTCGGTTTTCAAACGTCAATAAAATAAAGTTCTTACAATTTCATGTATACCTATTGAAAGGTTAACCAAAACAACGGGTGCGCTTGAATACAGATGGGTTTTCCCTATTTGTGCGAGCTATTTTGCAATCACATGAAGTAATTTTTCTCATTGGCTTTTGATTGGTTTGCGCGGCCGGATGTGTTGCCCATGGGATTTGCGGTACCGTCTCCTGCCTTTGGGATGAAATTTTTCTCATTGAAGAAAAAAAAAAATTGCAAAAAACTGAGATCTCTTGGCATACTTAGTGGTTATAGTATGGTTGTCTTCTTAAACGCATTAATGCAAAGTATCAATCTCTTTATTTCTTAACCACAGGTCATAAAAGTATCCAATTTGCGCAACTTTATTAAAGACTGGCATTTATTTGAATTAGTGCATATGGACTATTATTCCTATCGACAATTTTTTTATATATTATATATTATATATTATATATTATATATTATATATTATATATTATATATTATATATTATATATTATATATTATATATTATATATTATATATTATATATTATATATTATATATTATATATTATATATTATATATTATATATTATATATTATATATTATATATTATATATTATATATTATATATTATATATTATATATTATATATTATATATCACACAGAAAAAATGCTTTAGACATTATTTGTACTTCTCAGACGCCATATAGCGCGAAGGCTGCACATTTTACAATGTACGGATCCCACTGGGTCAATGATTGAGTTGTGTAAGGAGTTGTTCCATCTTCATCCGAATTAACTACTTGTATTGTAAGGAATTGACGAAGCAGAATTTTCCAAAAGTTCATTCTTATTCAATCAGCGATCTTTTTTTCATACACTAAGTTCAATGTCATCTTACTCTTCGGGTTATATTAAGCAAGTTTCGGTTATATTTTCTGCTACAAATGTGCACTGGGACTTCTCTCTAATGCCATCATTTTCAAACACAAACTTAAGGATACAAACATTTGCAATTATCTCCCGAGATATTCTGAAAAATTACATCAACACTATATAATTTTGGCTCTTCTATATTATGCCAGCCCGTTCAATATTCTTTGCACTTCGTAGTACAGTCATGGAAGGACCGCGTATATGGAGCAAAAAATCAAGCTCCAACTGATATATTGTGAATGACTGTAATTTTTTTATGTGCAATGGGACTTCTCTCTAATGCCATCATTTTCAAACACAAACTTAAGGATACAAACATTTGCAATTATTTCCCGAGATATTCTGAAAAATCACATCAACACTATATGCAGCCTCATTGCGAGAGTCGTGCCGAATGCAAGTCGTTTTTCGAGAGTCGAATCGTATCGAAAATTTGGCGTCATTGCCTAAAATTTCCACTCGACTAGTGTATTGAAACGGAAGAACTTGGCAGCACTGCATACTTTTCGACAATTTTCGTCGTTTACTTATTTCAGCACGACAGTAGACAATGCTAATGTAGTCGAGTCGTACAATTCAGCCTAATTTACGACTTACGCAATGAGGCTGATAATTTTGGCTCTTCTGTATTATGCCAGCCCGTTGCAAAAACACAATATTCTTTGCACTTCGTAGTACAGTCATGGAAGGACCGCGTATATGGAGCAAAAAATCAAGCTCCAACTGATATATTGTGAATGACTGTAATTTTTTTAGCTATATTATTGTGAATTAGCTACGCTAACTATCGGAGTTCATACGACAAACATCGATTCGTAATAGGGGGTAACAGAGGGAAGGGTTTATCGTGCATTGTACGAACTCATAATAGGCGGGTTACTTATAATATGGTTTTAACCCCAAAACGTCCACCTTATTTGCGTCTATGGTAGCATACTGGCCACGCAGTTATTCAGGGAAAACTCGAAGCCTCCAAGGTACTAGAGTGTCCAAATCCTATGTCATATAGTCAGTGCCCCTAAGTCTGACCTTACTAAAGCAGTGCTACATGCTACTGTTATTTGTAATTAAAAAATTGGAATTGTATTGTATACCGTTTGATTTCTTAATTTTTTTTTAAACATTTATATTGAGTTCACTTTTTTTGCTAATGTTATCATAATATTCTTTGTATTTGTATTTTGGTGCGCAATAGGTGAGAACAGGAATCCGCCAAACAATGGCTGTAACAACCCGAGTCGACGAAGTCAATCACAAAAGTCTCGCCAAAGAAGATACCATGGTTTGGAAAGTGAAGCGTCGGCAAGACGGCACAAGGTATATTGTACGTCGCCCTGCTCGTAATCGCTGCCTGTTACGTGATCGGTCTATACGCATCAATACCGAACATGTTCGTAACAGACATATGTCAACCACTACTGAGGAAGATAATATATCAGAGGTCAAAGTTGGCCGCTATTGGTCAAAAGAAGAACGTAGAAAACACATAGAGCGCGCTCGGGAACGAAAACAGCAACACCAACTTCAAAAACAGCAAATAACTGATGATAATAATCTGTCGAAAGTGTTCGTAAAAGACCAATCTTCTTTGAAACTTGTTCAGCAAAAAAAAACTGGATTGATTCCACAGCGTACAAACCAGAACCGGTTCGCAGAGCATTCGGGAAATCAGACTCAACAACCAAACATCACTACGCCCTTGCAACAACATTACCAACTGCAATTTAACTCGTCTAGAATACAGCATCAAAAACAGGCGAGGTGTGATTCTAATGCAACTACCTGCGCCCCCAATGTTTCGTTTAATGAAAAACAAAGCATATCGCCGAAAGAGCTAGCACTTGAAACAGGTGAAACTGAAACGTGTAGAATATCAGAAATTGGAGCAGTAAGTTCTAAATCGAATTGCCCGGTATTCCCTAGCTCATTAGTGGTGACGGGATCCCAAACGGCTGTTGCCGTTACCAATACTTCCACTTTTCCAGCTGCCGTCGAAAAGAGTGAATTACAAAATTGTATCTCTATTACTACCATATAAAGTATTATTGATATATTTTGGGAGTCTCAGTCTTTCTTCATTCCATTTTCATTTAAATCACTTGTTTTATATCATTGAAAACAAAATTATTAAAAAATAAAGATAATACTAGTCTTGTGAGTTCAATCTATTTTACTCTTTATTCATATAGATTCATTCATTCCCAAAGTGGTCCGGGTGGACCACTACGTTGGCGTGAAAAAAATATAGGGGTCCACGAGTTGTAATTGGGAGTCCACGAAAATTTATCTGGTTTCGATAGTACAGAACCAAAATGGTTGCTTGATAACCTCTTTATTTAGCTTTAATTTGTTTGAGTGTTGTATAGTGCATTTGACACTGCTACACTTACCGTCGTTGTGTCTTCATACGTGGGGAAGCCTTGAATTCCACCTGCATACTAAAAAGAAATGGATGTTGGTATAACACTGAGTGAGGCGAGACGAAATTTGCTAGCGACAAAGATTTGAGCACTTGTGTCTTTTCAGTGCTACAGGATAGTACGCCACCATTACCTTTGGTAAAGAGATTCTATAATGATGAGTTCCCTGAGGCTGAATGCTGGCTTAATTCCAGTACTGAGCCCGGATTCACACATTTTGGAATCTTCACTGATGGCTCCAAAACTGACTCTGGGTCAGGATCTGGAGTCTTTTTCTACGTTAATGGGGATAAGCTTCCGTCTTTCAGGCTGAGGTATGTGTTGGAGGAATTTAAGTGTCTGCAGTGACAGTCAAGCTGCACTTAAGGCATTGGCCAGCCTTCTATTTAAGTACTTCCAAACTAGTTAAACAATGCAAGTCTCGACTAAATTATGCTGGTAAACATAACGAGCTTGCTTTACTCTGGATGCCAGGTCACTCGGGAGTACCTGGTAACGAGACATCTGATTATTTGGCCACAGTTGGTTTAGACCAGGCATTCCTCGATCCTCAACCAGTGACAGCAGTCCCCACTTTGGCCATCGAGGCCACCATCAGAAACTGGGTGAATACTTCGCTCATGCAGGTGGGCAAAACTCATGTTGCCTTCAATCTAGAAAGGTCTATCTCGTTTTTTGCTCTCACTGAGCAGACTGGAGCGATATAAATGAAAACGGTGCCATGCACACAAATAAACTATTTTACAAATACGCCATATGAAAATTCATGAGTAAGCCGGACATGTGAGGAGTTTAAGGTGAAGATAATGCAAATAACGCTAGCTCTCGGAGTGCTCTTAAAAAATATAACTCCTCAGAACGAGAGAGTACTTTAAGTTTACGAGGTCTGTTTCTAAAACTTAGTTTTGGAACCCACCCGCGATGCGTATTAAAATCGTTTTGTATGATCTTCACATTTTTTGACGAACTTTGGGAGTATGTTAAAAATGTTGCAGCACAGGGTCCACTGAAACCAGTAAAGTTTTGAAAAGGGTCTACGAGAAAAAAGTTAGGGAACCTCTGATATAGATATATACATTTTCAACCCTGAGCACATTAACTTTGTTCGCATAACGGTTGTTTACAAGAGCCTAAAGAAAGCGTTACACGGAAAGATTTTCTAGTAGTTTTTTGTCGTTCAACCAAAATCTATCCGTTTAAATGGCAATTCAACCGGCCATAGTGGACAAAAATCGACTGAGACGAAGTCGTCAGCAAAGCGAAGTAACCTTGAAATATGTAGGTGGTATATTCGAATTTAAATTGTGACTAAATTTTGCGCTTGTTGAAATATTTGGCAATTTTTACCAGTTTTTGTTTTTAAATACAACATGAATTATACATACATACAACACGAATAAAAGCAATTTATCATTTTTCATTTGGTAAAACAGCTTAAGCATTGTTGTTTCCATTTTTCCTAACAAACAAATTGTGGCACAAAGCTCAATAACATTATTGAAATAAATATGCATACGCCACAACAAAAATTGACAAATAAATATATGGGATGAGCCTGCCCTGAAAACTATGCAATGAATCTATTTCATGTATTGAATTAACAATAACAACCACGCTGTCAAGCTTTAATAGCAGCGAATCAGCTGCACTTGATATTAGTATATTGAATAAGGAAATGGATTAGCAACAAAAGCTTACGGGGTGTGCATAGCTCAGTTGTTAGCGCTTCTGTCTTTGCACATCGATGACGCGGGTTCGATCCTTGCTGAAAGTCTAGAAAAAAGAAGTCTGTTGTTGTTGTTGTAGCAGCATACAAATTCCCCAAAGACTTTTTGGGGAGTGTTGCTGGAGTGACAGTCCTTGGCCAGATATAAATCTGGGTCGTTCCGGTTACGTAGACCCGACTGTCGTTGAGGAGATGTGGTGATCTCCGAAATAGCTGCTGTAACTTCTACCGCTTAAGCGTTGTTGTTTTTTTGCATTTTTCCTAGCAAACAAATCGTGGTACAAAGCTCAATAATACTATTGAAAAAAAATTTATTTGCAGCAAGCGACTTTTGTCGATTGGTATAAATGCTTTGCGTAGTCGATATTCTAGTTTATTTTCCAGTCGAAAAAAAACGACCCGCGTAAATGCAGGTTAAGGGCGTTGTTACGCAGTGATCATGTGGTCCCTGGTCACCAATTGTTGTTGCTGGATTGCATGACCAATCGGTTCAAATTTGACCAGCCCACTGAAGCCGAATCACTGATCAAAAAAAGGTTGGCTTGTGAATGCAAATTACTATTTGTTCCTTTTAGTAGCGATGGATGGATTATTATTCATACTATTTCATCTCTTAGTAGCAGAATGGTACATTTTTGCTGTAGGTGTGTACAAAGAAGCACGGTTGCTGTAATCCATCAAAGACTCGATTTTGCTACGAATCGTAAAATTGGTATGCTGAAATCCGCGTTGATGTATCGTAATTTCGAAATTCGTAGGCCATCTTCGAAATTCGTAATGATGGTATACCTGAATCCGACGTAATTTTTATGTATTTGTCGGAAATTTTGTACGAATAGCATCTCGTGTCGGAGCAACACAAATTGTTTTAAAATATCAATAAAATAAACTGTGTAAACGCAACTGTGTGAATAGTAAAAACATTAATTATTAAACTAGCAGACCCGGCGAACTTCGTCCCGCCAAAAATAATTATTATTTTTTTATTGAAACATTTTGGTCCAACATTTTCACCAACAATTCACGTGCATAACTTCCAATGATGCATTTACATATCTGGTAATACTACGGTTTGGTGGTTGTCAGAATGCATATTTCCAGTGCAGTCTTAAATAACCCAGCAAAAGTGTATGTTCATGAAGAAGGCTTTGAAATTCTCCAATGATCTGGCGTTTCACAGCGCGGTTAACTGCTCAGCAAAATAAAATTGAAGAACTTTTTTCTCTTCACTCCCTGGCGGCAACAATTATCCGGTTCGATGGTGAATCCGTCCTTGAAACTGTGTAGTATAGTTGGTGGGTGAGTATCGTTGTTCTACAGAAATCCTATATACATAGACTTATTTCAGACGAAATACCTTAAATGTCTTATTAAGGAGGGCAATGGTTCTGATGGTTGATTTAACGGTGTTCATTTGAGATTGACCCCTGGGCAACTCAATCCTGTTCGTCTCCGAATGAAGCTTTAACACACAGTAATATTGGCAATTCACGTCCATTGGGCCAATCGGAACACACGGGTCTTCGACATACTCCGCAGTACAGCACGTCAATGTAATCGGACATTCATGGCACTTTTCCTCACATATTTAGTAATAACTCCATTTCAGCGCCACCCGGTGGCTTTCTTTTGTCAAATTGGGTTACAAATACGAATTTTAGTAAAAACTCGACTCCAGAGCAACTTGGCGGGCAAATTTTTTCGCAAAAATATTTCCCATTGCGATACCAATACATATTTCAAATATAAGCCAGATCGGATCATATGTGTCATTTTTAGTAACAACTCGAGTCCAGCGCCACCTGGCGGGTCAAACTGTGAATCTAACAATCCAGAGACCCAATCAAACACAAAATTTCGTTAAAATCGGTTCACTCACAAACACACGTACAGAAAAATTATATACACATACAAAGATACGTAATAGTTTCAGTATGTTTGAAACGCGCCACGCCCCTTTTTCAAATCGCCCTAATTTTTTCTACGAGTATGGGATTGATTTCAAGTGTCACCATACCAGGTTCGATTACTCTACCATGAATACTTCCAGAGATATGCAGTATAAAAATTTGCACAGTCATCGACTAACTCTTAAACTATTCGGATGTGTATTCATACAAGTGTTCTTAGCTCGCGTAATAACGAATACTAAATAACCCGTTGTCATGTTTTCGCGTTTGTTCACTTTAGTAGAGCCTCAGGCGATAACAATCACTTTGTAAACAAGGAAACGCTACAACATACCAACAAACAACAAAATGCCAACACAACCAGAGCCCACAAAGCCAATTTGATGACTATAACACCGATTACTCATTTCCCACACTTACACATAAACAAACACGACTTAACCAACCCAAATACATAACAATTACAGCAGCCACCAATGAACTACAAAAACTAAGCCCATTCGTAATAAAAAGAGCAATAGACGGAATATCAACTCAAAGACGGTTCACTACATATACTAACACGCAACTCAAGAATAGCAGAGAAATTCTTAAAACTAAAAGCGATTGCGAATCTTCGTCAAGTCACGGTAAAATACCAAGACAATTTAAACACGGTAAAAGGAGTAATCTATGCTCCTCGTCTAAACTATGTAAACGAGGAAGGAATCATGCAGGAACTAAAAAGCCAAGGTGTAACGAGTATATACAAATTCACTCGCATGACTGAGGGCAAAGTTGTTCCCACTGGCAAAATTGTCCTATCTTTTGACCTCTATCACCTACCCAAAGTCATTGATATTGCTTGGTATAATGTCAAAGTTTTTCCATATTATCCCACACCCATGCGCTGCAAAAATTGCCAGTTACTAGGGCATACCAAAACACGCTGCACCAGTCCTACCACATGCGAGGGCTGCAATCTTCCACCCCATTCTCCAGCTGACTGCGCACGTAAACAATGTGCAAACAGATAAAGACTGTCCAAGATTTAAGGAGACTGAGGGAATACTAAAAATTAAAACCATCGCTAAATACTCCATGGGAGAAGCACGGCGCAAATGCAACG